GAATTAAAGAAACGTGCTAAGCAGCAGTTCAGGAATAAAATGTATGTATGTATGTACATGAATAGATTAGACTCAAACAAGGAAGAAGGTAAAGTTGAGTATGGAGAAGAAGAAAGTGATAAATACAGAAATTAAAATAAAAGTAAAGAAACCTAGATATAAAGACAAAGAGGAAGGAAAATTTAAATACCTAACCTAATAACAATGGTGGGGGTGAATATGTAAATGAAGAAAAGGATGGACATATTTAGATCAGGATAAAGGGTAAACGAAACATGATTGCCTATTTATATAATTGATATAAATACGCCACAATAAAATTTTGAACCCCCTTTTTTGAAGGCATCGTTTGCTCAATTTCTATGAAGCATATCTCATACAGAAATGTTAACCGCATTATACAGGGGGAGTGGCATCTGGCATACATACTAAAATGTGAAAACCGGTATATCTCTAAACCCCATTATACTGGGGAACTGAAGCTTGTGGCAGTAGGGATCTGCAGTAGGGCAGTAGGGAGTACCGGAGGAGGAAGTATTTCTTTTATTATTATTTTTTTTTTTATTATGCAAAATTTTCGATATATGTGTCAATGGTGTTGGAAAACTTTGTTTACATAGAAGATATCAAAACTAATGGGCTTCGCTACTTTAAACAGAAATTTGAGATTGGCCAGCTAAATGAAAAAAATATTAATATTTGTGTGGGGCCTTCCAAAGGAGAGGATATATAAGAGGATAAGTTCCCAGGAAAATATTGTTGTGGAAGGAAAAATAATGAGGGTATATGGAACATTTGATCCCTTTAAAAGCGACAAACAAAGTTTCGAAACTTCAAATTTGACCAACAAAAAAAAAACAAAGTGGGCTTCTAAACACCAAAGGATAATGTTTTCCATGATACAAAAAAGAAGGTAGTTTCATTACTACTATTTTTTGATTATAAAGCAGATTTTTGACATTTGTCCAGATGTAAACATTAAGCAGAGCATTGCCACATTGAAATTTTTTGAGAGGGGAGATTTTCTTTTAAATATTTGGAATTTAATGAAAGAGTAAAATTTACATAAAAAAATAGCAAGTTGATGTGTTCGATAATCAAATTTGAACGTTTTTCTCAAGCGTTTAAAATATCCTTTGAATAAAATCGATGTGCAGGGATGAAGAAATAAAACAGAATCTAGTTTTGAAACATTTATAATAACTAATTTTATTAAAACGCTTTTTTTATTTTATTTTAAACAAAATAAATGTATTTACATAACAAAACTTAGATATTTTGTCATTAAAGCATGGTCCGAAACCAGGCTTCGGAGAAGGTTGAATGGTCTCATTTCCCTAACAATTAAAGGAGCCAAAATTCAGAATTCTCCTGAAGTAGAGTATCTAAAAGTAATTCTGTATACAAAACTATCGTGGAAATCTATTGTGGAACACAAAACTTCTAAAGAATTGGCAGCATTTTGACAATGTAAACAGGTCTATGGCAAAACGTGGGGTGTGTCACCATAGGTAATCCTCTGGATTTATACCTCAGAGCCATAATTATCTATGCGTCAGTGGTATGGTGAAGCAGATTCTCAATCAAGAGCGTGGGAGGTCTGCTTGCAAAACTTCAAAGATCTACTACCGTGTGCGGTACGAAATATTTCTCTACAATACGTGGCGTTGCTCTTGATGCACTGCTGAACTTACCGTCATTAACTTTTTTCTTGGCAAGTATGCTTCGGTCTTCCAGGCTGAGGTATTTGCAATCCTCATATAGATATGGACTACGTGGTGGAAAATGGGTAGAGCGGAAGGAGTTTACGTGACGGCCAAGCTGCACTTAACACACTACTTACTTCCAGACTCTGAGTGACAGTTCAATCGGGAGTACCTCCTATCGTCCATAACTATAATATTTATCATATCATGAATTTCAATTTTCGTTTTTGCGCATATCGAAATTTCTTTTTAATTTTTGTTAATATTTTTCTTACAATAAATAAATGATTATTGAGGACTAGGTATGGCAGCACGAAATGTCACAATCTGCTTAATTGCCAGGTAGTTAATATGGCGCCCGAAAAGTGACAATGAAACTACCTTCTTTTTTGTATCATGATTTTTTCTATGTAATTGGACATTTCTTAACAAGTTGGAATTATCAAGACATCAAAATCCCATTTCGATGTTTTTGCGGCTAAACTAGGGCTGGGAACTTCATCCGGATTTTTCTACTATCCGGATAAACCGAATATTCGAATATCCGGATACCCAAATGAAAAATCCGGTTACTCTGGAAGCTAAGATAATTTTCGGCTATCCGAATATCCGGATTTTTCGTTATCAAAACGATACTTTCCTTTCCCAATACCTGGCGCTCATAAATGTGTAGTAACAGTTTTCTATTTCTACGCACAAACTTGTTTGTATAAATTTTAAAATTTCCAAAATTCTACTTTGTAATTTCAAAGGCTTCTACAAACGAATTAAAAAGTTCAACAGACAAATATATGCGTATAGAAAACCATGGTACAATAAACACAGGTAGAAGCCAAATTGACATCAAACCTACAAAAGTCAAAGTTTTCGGGAGAGTAAAAATAAAAATGAGCGTGTGTAAGGAAAAATAAAAAATTACATTTCGCTGGTTGACGTTTTTGAGTAAATTTGAAGTTTTGTTTTTATTTTTTTTCTTTAGTTAAAATTTGTTAATTTGTATGTGGTTTTCTGTTTTTAATTTATGAGTTGAGCACTTGGTATCAAAAGTGCCTTTCCTGTACCTCCCGGTGCATTTATGAAATCTGCTGCTTTAAAATGTTACCTGAAGCGTTGTTTTTATGTGGTTTAAATATGAAGGCAGATACCACTAATTTTTTTAACGTGCCTCAATGTCCTTCGCGTAAGGCGTTGCGAAAAGCAGCTTTGGGGCAGAAGCTGCAGCGAAATGCCTTAGCTGTGCGTTAAACATTTTAAAGAGTAGATTCCACAAATGCACTACGGAGTGACTTAGCGAAAGCCACTTTTATACAAGCTGCAACTCATAAATACAAAACAGACAAACCACATACAACTTTTAATCAAATTTTAACTAAAGAAAATAAATAAAAAGCATAAACTTCAAATTACTCTAAAAACGTCAACAGCTGAAATGTAATTTTTTATTTTTCCTTACACACGCTCATTTTTATTTTTACTCTCCCGAAAACTTTGACTTTGATTTGGTTCCTTACAAGGCACATAAATACAGGTAGAAGCCAAAATGACATTGCTCTCATGAGAAGCAAACCTTTAAACTTCAACTTGGTTTTCTTTTATTTCCTATATTTCGTTACGCTTTAAATGTCATGTCGTTTGATTTTTTTTTTTTTTTTTTTAATGTTCGTTAAATAACAAATTTTAATTAACATTGTGAATTTGATAGTGTTGTGCGGCTTATACTTAGTGTATGTGTTAAAAATGCAGCACCTGAAGCCTTGTTTTTATGTGGTGTTAAATATAAATCAGAGGCCACTAATTTTTTAACGTGCCTCAATGTCCTTAGCGTAAGAAGCGTTGGGAAAGCAGCTGTGGGGTAGAGCTGCAGCGAAATGCCTTGCTGTGCGTTAAACATTTTAAAGCAGCAGATTTCATAAATGCACCGGGAGGTACAGGAAAT